TAATAACTAAGTCTCTGCGGCGTAAAACAGGACTGGCCGAACTGCTGCAGCATGTACCCTTCACAGACAACCGGATGTCGCGACGGCTCCACAGATGTCTCAAGTTGGCAAATGCCAATCGAGCCTTTTGTATGCGCGCCGACACTTCATCTGTGATGCGTCCGCCGGGTGAGATATAGCTGCCTAGATAGCAAAATTTGTCTACTTCCTCTACTACCTCCCCGGTTAGGGTGAGACTGGGTACTGGATCAACCCAATCTTGTAGCATTTTACACTTTAAAGGTGCAAAACGCATGCCGAACATGGACACACTAGCACTCAAACTATCCAGGAAAGCTTGCAACTAACCTGGATTTTCACTTTGTAGCACAGTGTCATCTGCATATTCTAGATCAGACAGTTTGCCACCTGGAAGTAAGTCGATACCGCTATCTTCGCACGAGGATAGGGCTGTTTCAAGAATTAAATCTATGACAAAGTTAAACAGAAACGGAGAGAGAGGGCAACCCTGTCGAACACCACTTTCCGTGGTGAACTCGGGTGAAAAAGTGCCGTAAGCTCGGACTGGGCTTCGGCTACGAGTATAGAGGGATTGTAATATTGAAATTAACTTTTCGGGCACTCCCTTCAGGGGAAGGCAGCGCCAGAGTTTAGAGCGGTCGATTGAGTCGAAAGCCTCTTTTAGGTCGAGGAAGATAGAAATGGTAGGTCTACGAAAGGAGTGTCTATGTTCTAAAGTTTGACGAAGTGTGAAGATGTGGTCAATACAACCTCTACCAGGTCTAAAACCAGCTTGGTTCTCACACGTTCAAGTGCGGCAGACAAACAACGGAGTATGGTACCACCGAGAAGTTTAGAGACAATGTTGGTTAAACTAATTCCTCTGGTTTTCCCAGGAGGATCTGTCACCTTTCTTGCAAATCGGTATGATCACCGATTCACACCATTCAGTTAGAGCCTGTTCCCTCCCACACTGAACCCAGGAGTTTTGTTGACTCCAAAATCAAGGCTGAACCTCCATCCTTAAAAACGGATGGGGACAGCCCGTCGAGACCGGAAGCCTTGTGCCGTTTGAGAAAATCTCTTTTCGGGTAACCTCCATTTCAGATGGCTGTATTTGCACAGTTGAACCGGGTGGGGAGAGGTCTTGTGCCGAAGGGGACCAGCTGAACTGTCCCTTAAACTGTTCTGCCCAACGTTCAAGATGACGTTCCTGAATTTGAATCAGTGTTCCGTCAGACTCCTTAATTACCTCACGCCTACTTTCCTTGATCCTGTACTCCTAATCAAACGAAAAAAGATTGCGTCTATCACCGTTAGCCGCAGCCTTCTCCATCTCTCTACACTTTCCTGTCCACCACTTCTCGCGGTCATTCCTCAGACTCTCGATGAGCTGGCGTTTAAGGGATTTGCGCGTTTTGTCGCATTTTGAACCTGGAGGAATGGCTCTGCGAGCGTCCAACAAGGCAACCGAGGTCGGGGAGATCCATCGCTTTTTATTTGTTCGTGCGCCAGAATTTGCCGTTGGTTTTATCGACGTTTGGATCACTTCTTTGATTGTCGACCAGTGTTCACTGAGTCCTCTGGCTGATGATTGAGATGAGAAGCGATTGTTCCGCTTTGAAGGCCGATTTGCAACTGTGGTTGATAGTGTATTGTGGGCATCCGTTTTCGGCAGCTTTTCTGCGGTTGTTTATCAGGCGTAGGGAGAATCTCGCTCGTAGCAGAGCATGGTCCGTGTCTACGGGTGTTAACCAGTAGGAGCGGCAGTCTTCAGTGGATCCTCTCCAGCGGTGGCTGATGGCGATGTGGTCGACTTGAGTCTAGCGCGGTGAAGAATTTGGCGGTCTTCATGTAGAGCAGTGTCGCTTTTTGTGCGAGAAGTTCGTGCTTGACAAAAACAGTCCGTGATCAGCACAAAGTTGGAGTAGGCGTTCTCCGTTGTCAGTCCTGTTGACTGGCATTGCATGCGAACCTCCAAGTAACCTCTCTGATTCGTCCAGGGATCCCACTTGAGCAAACAAGTCTCCAGCGACTACCACAATGTCCGTTGACCGAGCACTTCGGAGCAGTTGAGAGAGTTCCTTGTGAACTGCAATCTCGATGCATACGCGGATACGACGAATAAGCATCAACGCTTCGTTCTGTAGCTGTTGATGCGTACTGAACCATCCAGACGTACGGCGCAAAGTCGGCTGTTAACCGGGATCCATTCGAGAAGTGAACGCTCGGCCGTGACACTTAGCGCGATTCCAACGCCAGCAACACCGCGAGCTTCGGATGCCGAATCGCCTGATACACGGAAAGTGAAGCGTGAGGATGGGGCTGGATCTGGCGAACGAAAGGAGATGACTGAAGTAGGGTCTTGTATGCGTGTTTCGGAGACAGCATACGTCTAAATGGAAGGTTTCAAAGGTTCTAGCTAAGGCGGCTTGTTGATCGATCTGGTAGAGTGCACGGACATTAAGTGCGGCTAAGTGTAAAGGGGATTCTGGTTTCAAAAATCTGATGGACTCTGAAGGATTGACCTTGTTAGTTGAACGCTGAGTGATATGTGATGGTATCGTAAACAGGGGACACCTGGGAATAATCGGGATTGAGAAGAAGGACTAGACAGATGAGAAAGATGGCTGTCCAAATGGGTACCTGAGACTTAAGGGCACGACATACTTCGCTGCAGCCCACACCGACAAAGGGGTTTTTCTTTGGGAACCCCAACCTTTGAATTTGGATCGATTGTGTTGTTCGCTGGTGCGTTGATTGTCGGTCCGCTTTTCGTGATCGGCCCTCAGCCTCGTGCACCCATTGAGACAAGCGGAACGTGGACGAGACAGCACCTTGTTCGCTGGGGCTGCCCAGTTTGGGCGGGCGGTAGCTGTCTAATGAAGTGCGAAAATTCTCCCACCGTCGAGAGGAAGCCCCAGGTACCCCGCTCCTACGTCCATCTAGTGGGTTTTTTGACCGGTAAACTGCTCCTTACCGTGTTTATTTGCTGGATTGGTCTCTCCAGGGGCAGATGTGGATAGAAGAAAGAAGCCAGGTGTCTAAGCAGCTGGCTTTGCGAGACTGAGCTTCGCCTGGCCTCTACCGTTGACCTTTCAGGCATGATTGGATCTCCGGCTGTGAAAAGCCATCCTGTGTAGCTCGCAGGGTCATGGAGGTACTCAAGCCATCACACCACGTTAAGGTGCAGTCTCGTCCTAATGGATTGATAGATATAATTAGTTGATTATGTGTGGTTTACAAACAAAAGTACAGTGATAGGCGGAAGGGAATAGGGATGCGTCACATGAAGGTTGGGACCAAGTCAAGGTTAGCCATCACCTGTTTGGATCAAAGGATCATGGAAATAGTTAACTTCAATCATGCGATTGAATTCACTCTGTGGCCATGGTAATGAAGTGCTTTAACAAATCGCTGATTGACTCCTGGGGACAAAAACCATCTCAAGCGCCATTACGGAACATCTCGCAAATACGGGGTATACTGTGAATGAAGGTGCCTTCAAGGTGATCTACCGGATGCCTCATTCATCTAAGGCTGTTCGTCAGCAATATTTCGCAACAGCTGAAGCAGTGGCCATCCGTTTGTTTAACCAGTCACTTTGTTCCCAAAAGCGATTTGTTAAAGCACTTTATTATCATGGCCACAGAGTGAATTCAATCGCATGATTGAAGCTGACTGTTTCAATGACCCCTTGACCCTTTCGATTGACCCCGTGCCCAGACAGGTGATGGTTGGCCTTGACTCGGTCCCAACCCTCGTGTGACGCATCCCTATTCCCTTTCACCCACCACTACATTTTTGTTTGTAAGCCACACAATCAACTAATTATATCTATCAATCCAATCCGCCCACACGTCAAACGTTATGCAAAAGTGATGTTTATTACCCGTGTATATAACTGCATTAGATAGATGAGGAAGTTATCGAAAACGATCTTGTTCGTGCTATTTCGTGTTTTTTCTCAAATGGGAATCTTCAATGAGAAGGTAGAATTTCGAGTTACGTTATGGTGTGACCCTGGGTTTGCCAATATATCGATGTTCACTCGGAAGGGCGTAGTCTGGAGTGCAGGCTCAAAACACAAAACAGTAGATCTGGTCAACCTCGGCTGCCCTGCTAGACGCTGGAAAAGCCATTCCTTCGGATTCAAAGTACTACAAAGCACGCAAATCCCTTAAACGCTAGCTCATCAAAAGTCTGAGGAATGACTGCGAGAAGTGGTGCGTAGGAAAGTGTAGAGAGATAGAGAAGGCTGCGGCTATTGGTAATAGTCGCAATCTTTTCCGTCTAATTAGGAATACGGGCCACAGGAAAGTAGGCGTAAATGAAGTAATCAGGGAATCCGATGGCACACCATCAGCAACGCCGTCTTGATCGACGAGCTGAACGTTTCGAGGCTCATTTCAACTGGCCCCCCATCAACCACTGACCTATCACCCCCTCCCCCCACCTCGATTTGGCAAATGCTCTCAGTTAACGCCAGTCCTCCATCTGAAATGGAGGTTTCCCGGGAAATGTTATCTCAAAAAGCACAAGGCCTGCAACCTAGGTGGGCTTTTTCGATCGGCGTTTAAGTTTGAAGGCTCGGCGGTAGTCTTGGAGTTGACGAAACTCTTGGGCTCCATGTAGGAAAAAGAACAGGTTCCAACTGATTTACAGGAAAGGTGACAGATCCTCTTGTGGAAATCACAGGGGAATTAGCTTAATCAACATTGTCTCTAAACTTCTCGCTGGGGTCACACTCCGTCGATTGTCTGCCGCACGGGAAGAGTGCACGCGTGAGAATCAGGCTGGTTTTAGACCTGATTGAGGTTGTATCGACCTCTTCACTCTGCCAAACTCTGGAGCACTGACATTCTTCTCGTAGACTCGCGACCTCTGTCTTCCTCGATCTAAGAGCGGCTTTCGACTCAGTCGACCGCTCTAAACTTTGATGCTGCCTTCCCCTGAAGTTTATTTTAATATTGCAATCATTTGATACTAATAGCCGTAGTCGAGTCCAAGCCTACGGCACTTTTTCACCCGAGTTCGCCACGAAAAGTGGTGTTCATCAGGTTTGTCCTTTCTTTCCTTTTCTTTTTAACTTAGTTATAGATTTAATTGGGGAAACAGCATTATCCTCGTGCGAGGAGCGTCACATCGATTTGCTCCCAGATGGCAGACCGTTTGATCTAGAGTGTGCATACGACATTGTGCGTCGTCGGCAAAGGTGTGAGTAAGATTTGATTTGAAGGTAATCATAAACATAAGGAAAAGGGAAGTGGAACGTACAGAACCTCTAGGAACCATTCACAGGCACGGAACAAGACATGGTCCCATATACTCTGACAGAGATGCTGCGGTCCTTGAGGTAGCTTGCTGTCCAGGACAAGTTCCGAAGGAAAGCCAAACTTGGGTAGTTTAGCCAGCAGACCTGTGTGCCATACGCGATCGAGAGCTTTCGATATATCTAGTGACATCATATTGGTTTCTCCGTAGTTGTCGAGTGCCGCTGACCGTGTGTGCGAAATGAACGCCAGAAGATCACCGGTAGATTGATGGGATCGGAAACCGTACTGACGGTCGATGAGCATCTTGTTCTGATCCAGGTGGTGGCTGAGTTGGTCATCAACGACTGATTCCATAACCTTGAAAATATCTGATGTGTGAGATCGGACGGTAATTGTTTGGGTCTGAGTGATCTCCGCGTTTGGGGATGGGAAATATTTCTGATATTTTCTATGAGGTTGGGAATACTTCAGAATCGAGGGATAAAGTTAATAAGCGGCGTAAGAGAGGGGTCATCTCTGAAGTATTTTGTGTCGAACCGAAAGCAGGGTTGGTGGTGGCGTTGGTTTGGTCGCTGTCACCGGCGTGCTTTGGACCCAATGGTCCGCGGTTCGAGCCCCGTCACTGCCATTCAACTTTGGTGGTAGGCAGACCTACTGCCGTCCGGTGCAATGCCACGCCTAACCTAGCGTGGCATTATGTGGTTCGCCACTCCAAGATTCGGAGCTTAGGTTACTGATTTCCATCACAGAACGGCAGATCCTAGTGACCATGAGGTTCGCTCCGTTTGCTGTTCATCACACAAGTGTCGCTCTTGTTGTCATTTCTTATCAAGCAAGAATGCTTGAAACGGTATGTATGCACAGTATTCTGTGTTGACCATATAGGTTCACCTCTCCCCTCGAAATAGTTGCAATCCCTGTCCATCTTACATCTTACCATGAACCTTGTATGTATTGCGCGATTGGCATTGATCGTTGAAGTTTGCTTTGCTGTATGATGATGATGAGTTTGTAAGTAATTCCCGTAATAAAACTTTGGCTTTAATTTACACACAAGCCCTAACCAGTTCCTTCCTTTGTTCTCCTCTCTTCAGCCCGCTTTTGCATAATCCTGGCCCGACCCGTGTTAGTCTTGTCGTGGACAAAGTACGGGTGATTGTGGACGCCCAGGTGCTTCAATCTCATCCAGATACAATGCTCGGTCGAATGATCAGTTCACATTTTCTGGAGTCCAGTCGACTGGCCGAAAGTGCATCCATTCCCGGTCCCAGTACTCAACTGCCCGAGTCGCGTCCTCATCCACCTGATATACTTGTCGCACAAAATTCGAATATCTCGGCCCACTTGTTCCGAGCTGTATTGGACTATTATCTTCTCGGTCATATATCCTGTCCTCCGGGGGTTCCGGTTCAAGAGCTAAAAGAAACGTGCGACTATTTTCTGATCCCATTCAATCATCATACGGTACGGTGTGCCAATTTGCGCGCGTTCCTTCACGAACTGTCCAATGATGGTGCCCGTGCTAATTTCGCAGAATTCCTAGAGACACATATCCTCTCATTGTTGGTCAAGTGTGCGCGAACCGGGGAACGCGAATGCCATGTGGTGATTGTCACGGACGATGAAACAATTGTTTGGGATCCGGAATTTCCACCCCAGATGCCCGAAAATGAGCTTCAATCACATATCATCTACAGCACACACATGTTTCGATTTCTCAAATACATCGAGAACCGCGAGGTGGCGAAGCAAGTGCTACTCGAACGGGGCCTGAAAAAAATTCGTATAGGAATTGAGGGCTATCCGACTTGCAAAGACCGAATGAAATTCCGACCCGGATTCCGGCCCGAGGCAATTTACAATTATGTTCAATGCCCGTTCCTGCGCATGTCCTGGGAAGAGGAGGAGAACAAATCGCGTCACGTTGACTTCCAGTGTGTAAAAAGTAAATCTGTCAGCGATTTAACCACTGGCTTGGAGCAGGCGGTAGTTGATCCGTTGCCTCCACCCCATCTGATTCGATCTCCTCCTCGATCGGTTTCTCCTGAACGTCCCGATCATCGATCGGCTAGTTTCGCTGCCCAAGTGGATAACCTTGACCCGGATGGTCCACTTGTACTTGAAGGCAACACAACTACTTCACCGCTGATTGATGCTTTTGATCCAGAGGATCTGTCTCCCGGCCACCCGGAATCATCACGTGCCAGAACCGTTTCGCCTCTTCCCAACGCATCCTCTGATCCTCCAGATCGAGAGGACGAGGAGGAAGAGGACGATGAACCACGGATATCCCCTTCCAATCCCGAACCGGATCCACCAGAACCATCTAATCCGGGTTCTTGAGAACCAGCTAACAATTGTGCTATCATCCTAAACCCAAACCACAGTATCTCGACAGCCTTTCCCTGCTCCTTTGGCCGGATACGTTGCTATTGCGCTCTTCCCGGCGTCAAATACGCTGTATTATAGTCTGTGATATCAAGTTTATCTCGTATATACGAACCAGTCTTCTGGGAAGAGGACATCGTGCAACAATGTGTCCTCTCCAACGCAACTAATTTGGCAGCGAGGCATGAAGTTCGCTTCAGTGTATCTCGCTGTACGATAACAACCAATACTGCCCATGTATGTATTTAGTTCCGTTTTTTCTCTCTCTCGACTTCTTGGTCTCCATTCGCCTGTTCAGTCTCTTTCTCTCGCTACCATATCTGTTGATCTTTTTTCCCGGCTCTGTTCACACCGATACTTTTTGTGAAGTTACCATTATGCTTGCCTCTATTATTTCTGCTGTATCTGCTGCCGTTTCATACGCTCAGAACAACACTGAGGATGTCCATAAACAACCAACCAAACACAGAAAGTCGAAAAAAATTCACCATAGGTATCTGTACTTTTGTGAGGATACGCGTTGTTGTCTTTTGGGTCATTTTCTCTG